ATCTATACCACCCATTAAAATTTTTACAATATACTTTAAACAAAAATGAAGATTTTTAATAATTAAAATCAATAATTTTAACTTACATCACCAAAACTAAATGGAAAATCATTTCCTTGACATTTTAATATTTGTTTTTTTTCATTTCGATAATCATCAACAACATCTAAATTTGGAATTTCTTTATCCCAATCATCTAAATAATCCATTGATTGATCATCATCTAACATAATATAAATTATTTTATTTTTAAATATATATTCATATATTCTAATCGATGTAATGTTTTGTTATTTACCTGTACAAGCAATAATTGTTACAGGAATTCGATTTATTGGTTTACGTTCATCTTGTAAAACTTTTTTAAATGTTAAAATATCCTGATAACCATCATCATTAGTTGGTACTCCATCAGTTGCTATAAGTATGAGTAAATTACGTTCTTGAATTTCACGTTGTTTATCATGAAGAATTTTACGAACAACACGTGTAAGTGGAGTAGGACATAAAATGATTCAAATAAAAAAAAAACAAACAACAATATTATGTCAAGATGAATTATTTCGTATAGAATACCTTCTGGTGGTACAGCAAAAATAGGAATTAATTCTGATGAATTTCTTACATTAAAAATTGGATCTCGATTAAGAAAATAAATATCAACACCATTTGGATCGAGAGAAGTTGCTAGATCAACAACTATTGAAACTGTTTGTTTAAGTTCATCCCCTATGAATGTTAAAAACTAATAAAACATTTATGATAACTAAAAAAAAAAAGAAGATTTATTTTACAACGAGTAGGTGAATTGTTAAAAGGACCAAAAACATCACCTAAATATATATTTTTTTTGTTAGAATTATTTAAAAAGAAGAAGAATATTTTACCAAGTGGAGTATTCATTGAACCTGAATCATCACAAACAAATACAATTTCATAACCATCTAATGCAAGTAATTTTTTAGCAAAAGTTTGATTAACTAGAAAATAAGAAAAAATTCTATTATAATCTATAGATAAACGGAAACAACAACAAAAGAAAAAAGAAAGTATTTACTTTCATAACGACGAACAAATTTTTGAAAATCAGGCAAACGTTGTTCACTAGATATAAAAGAATTTCGATTATTATTTTGTGTATTATAGTTATACGATGATTTTGTTCGTGGATACATTCTTTCAATATAATGACAAAGGAATAAATGAAAAAAGTAACTGTACGAGACATTTTATAAGGAAGTACAGAAAAAATATATAAATAGTTGGAAAAAAAAAAGTATTGAGTCACATGTAAATCTTTTTGACAAAATCCACATTCGATTTAATGGATTGTTTATGACTTGAGTATAGAACAGAAAGAAAAATTTTTTGTAGGTTTTTATATGATAGTCAAACTTTCATCTTGTACTATTTGTGATTGAATTATTTGTATGTTTGCGCATTATGTAAAAGAACCAATTTTTATGTATTTTGTGACAAAAAAAAAAAAAGAAAAAAAAAAGTTTTTATTAAACATACAATTACTATATAAATATAATATATTTCTATTTTTTGAGATACTTTTATAATAAATTACATAATTACTCTGTGTCTTGATTTAGAAAAAATATTGTCCTGTTAAAAAACATACTGTTCTCATAGATAAATAAGTTACACACAATCGTTTTTCGTAGAGAATAAATTCCAATGGAGTGTTTCGATGATTGTCGAGATTTTTATGTGGAGTTTTTTTTTTGAATGACATCTAATACAAAACATAACTGTTGCTTGTTGTGAAAGACTAAAGTTTAATATTCTAGTCTGTTCAGACTCGCTCATATAATATTCTCGGTTGCAATTCTTGATTTTACCGGTGAAAAAACAGATGCGTTTAATATAGTCAATTAAGCAATCAAATTCTTTCGAGAAACAATCTATGACTGTAGTTCTACGAAGGCATACAATGTAAAACTCATATGACCTTTCATAATGGATAAGTTTGATCTATTCGGATTTATATATGAAATAATTGTTTAACATAGCTGAAAGATATCTCAATTCGTAGAAGGATACTATTTCCGACAGAAAAATAAGATGAACTGAAATGTATGATTATTATATTAAACTTTCTATTTTAAGGTTTCTTATTATCTAAATATTTTCATGGTTGGATGATTCTAGTATTTAGCAAAATCTTGATAATAGAACAGTATGTTTATTTTTTTTATATGTTGTAATGAAAACAGCAACCGAAAATTACTAACTATTATGATTTTATGATAGTTGATTAAAAAATAGGTTAGAGAAAGGTACACGAAATTTCGAGGTGAAAAATCTTTGGTTTTGGTCGAAATAAACTTTTAATAAACATTATAAATTCATGCAACAAGATTCGAGACTCTCATTCTACAATGAAAGTGTTTGCTCAATATCTCGAGCTGGAAATTTGTCAATTGAAAGCTTTCATGCTCATATCTCTTGATCATTAATATCATAGAAATCATTCACAATCAACAAAATACGTTCAACTTTAGTGTCGAATAATTTATTTAGATTGAGAACAATTAAATGATAAATATTGCGATAGTGTGACTACAAAAACCGATTGTCAGATGGCAATACAATTGTCTGTTATGATAAGGATCATCTAATCCGCACATATTTTTTTTTTTTTATCTCTTCGTTGTAGGCTTAATCAAATGTTGTTTGCGCTATCTTGATTGAATTTTTTCTATTTTATGAAACACAGCTGATACAATCAAAAACTGTGTGTTAATTTAAGCTTTTCTTGTAGGAAAAATTGTTATATTATCCCTATATGTTTTAATGTAGGTCAGAAAAAGTGTCTTGCTGACATGTCTTATCGCATATTTACAGCAGCATATTATAATAGAATTTAGTTCATATTATAGTTTAATATATGACTAATAAAATAAAGCGAAGTACATTTCTGTTCGAAGTATTTTTATCATGATATACTTCAATATCATTACAAAAATGTGTGAATCGTATGTGTTTGATGTCAATGATAATAAGTAGAACTACAATAATTTGTCATAGTCGTCATACGGCCAACATTAAAAAAAAACAAATGTGAACTGATCGAGTTATAACTTTAGGAAAATAATCAATATCGGTGTTAAGACCTGCAGTGAATAAAATGAATATGTAAAACAGATTTCTTTGCTTGTTAAATCAATCGTGAGAATAATGAAGTAAGAAAAAACTGAATACAAGAGTGAAAAGCAACAGCCTAGTTAGACAAGAATTCATAGCAGTGGCACATATCCAAAATTTTGGAGATGCATCCACGTCTAGCGCGGGAGATGCGGCATTTACTGCGAGAGATGTAAGTGTCGGTGCGGGGGATGTGCATCTCTAAAGGAGATGATACATCTCCAGTGGAAAATGACCGCGTCTCCTGAAGGAGATTCCGCGTCTCCCGTGGGAGATGCGGCATCTCCTGCGAGAGATGTGGGCGCATCTCCAAAATTTTGGATATGTGACACTACTTTTTCTAAAATATCGTATCTTTTACGGTAATCGCGATAAAACCGATTTTAATCGCCGATTTTTGTACAGAATACGATTAATCGCGATTTTCGGATCAATCTTAAGATTGATCGTTTTCTGAAGCATAATTTAAAAGAAGTTTTGAATTATAGAAGTAAAACTTTGGATGAGAAATTAAATAATTGATTTGTCTGTCGAACAGTTTAATTTTATCAAATGTTAAATTTTTCGGTGACATCACAATTTTCATTTTCAGTCAAATGTCTATCTAGAGATTCATACTGTGCCTCATGTCACAGACTATGGCAGACGTCGATAATATCTTGTTATAAAATATGAACTATTTCTTTATTGCATTTCTTAAGGCTTCAGTAAAACTATAACGAAGAAATGTGTTCCAAGATATAAGTAGGAAAAAAGAATGCTGTAATTAGCAACAGTAGCAATAGAATGTTTCACATTTTAATATTAACAGCTTTTTCACTTGACGTATTTTGTATTACTATGATAAGACTAAAGACTATATTTGACTTTCACATTTAATCCCAAAGGGAACTGTGTTGATAAGTATTTCTTTCGTATTTGTCGATTATTTATGTATGTTATAGCTTTAAATATGTCACTATTGATGATTTCAATAGCACTTACATATTACCGCAGCTAATTTTGTTGCGGTCAATATAATTATTATTATTTTTTTCCATTGATTTACAAGTAATTGAAATTATTCTGATACAACTCTCATCTATATCGTATATGTAAAAGTTATATTAAGATTATAATACTAATATTTTTAATTCGTATCTTATAACTTTTAATGTGTACTTCTTTTTCTTTCTCAAAAAAAAGATAAATCTTTGATTTATTATGACATTTGTGCATTTAAATCAATTTGATGATATACATATAATGACGTAGTCTGATGTTGAGAAAGATTTCAAATAGATTCAAAAAATGTTAAATCAGCTTTAATATTATATAGAAAACAAATATTTAAATAAAACATCTTGAACATAGTAATAATAAAGTCTATAAAAAAAACAAAAACAAAATGATACTAAAATTTAAATGTAATTTTCTCATAAACCACAATAAGTACATGATAAAAATTATATTTAAATAAATAAGAAAAACAAATTTATTCATTGCTTGACATAGAACTCAAAGCAATAAAATAGGGTTATATAATTAAACTTTATCTACCACTTCGGTTTTATGAAGATATAGACTAAAGCATTCTATAAGAAAAATCATTTTCTTATCTTTTTTTTGAGTATTTATGAATAAAATAAAGTTAAGTATATGTATGTATTTTGTCGATTATATTTCTTTTATATTGTCCAACCCTTGTTTTACTGATAGTTACTAAGACAATGATATAAAATAACTGCTAGTCAACGATACACAATATTTCTTTTTCATTTTCTTTCATCTACTAATCATAAAGATCAGATTCAATAAATAGCTTGTTTTAAAGATTTTAGTAGCAAGAAAATTTTATCATAACAATGTCTTCATACGATATTCAAGTAAATGATAATGATGAAAATATGCGACGAACATCATCACAAAGACGTCAAGTTATTTCTCCAAATTCTACGCGTGGACAATTACAAACTGGACCAGATCGAGCTATTAATAGTCGACAAGGTCAATTATATACTAATGGCGGTACTTTTTCTGCTTCAAAAACAGATCTTGAACATCAAGCACATTTATATGAACATTTATCAATGGATTTGGGACATTTATTAAATCGAACAGATATTAGTGATTGTTTTCTCAATGTTAGAGGTATTAAAAATTTTTTTATGATTCAAAATTTATAAGAATTTTTCATCTATCAGGTACTTTTATGGCCGTTCATAAATGTATTCTTGCTGCTCGTTCAAATGCTTTTGCGGGTAATGAATTTCAAAAAAATTATTCATTTTTGCCTTTTTATAAAATATAAATTTTATTTCTCATTAAAGCTATTATTTCGGGTACTATCAATCGATTGGGAGAGGATGAAAGAAATCAAATTGAAGTCATGACTGATAAAGATAAATTAATTTTGAAAATTGATAAAACAGATCCAGAAATAATGAAACATGTTATTATTTTTATGTATACGGGAAAATGTGAATTAGATGAAAGCAATGGTAAGATTTCAACTTTTTTGTTCAAAAATGAAATAGAAATATATTCACACAAAAAATTTTTTTATTCTCATTTTAAGCTTATGATTTACTTGATGCTGCTGGTCGATATGATATTAAAGATTTGAAAGCTCATACTGGTCGTTGTAAGTCTTTGTTGTTTTTTTAAATAAATGTTTTTACTCAAATAATATTTTTCAATATTTATTTAGTTCTTTCAAGTCGTATTGATTCAAATAATGTTTTATTGTTACTCAACGCAGCATATAGATACAACAATACATTAATAAAACACCGTTGTATTGAATATTTTATTAATAATGCTAAAGAAGTTATGGATATACATGAACCATGGAAAAAATTTGCTGAAGAACAACAACCAATTGTTGCTGAACTTCTTCATTGGCTTGTTAACAAAGATCATTTCTATAGCTCAAAACCTCAACATGAATCGAAATCCCAGTGGTATTGAACAAGAACATACAAACATTATTTTACCAAAATAAACAAAGAAAAAATAAAAACTACACAGGCAAACATATTTTTACATATAGTATTATAATGTTCTTTTTTTCTATATAAAATAAAATTAGTAGCAAACCACCGGATATTTGCATTGTTAAATTGGTAAATGAACTTGACCATAAAAATCAATTTCATCATCAAAAATACTGTCTTGTTGTTCATCTCCATCGAGCTAAAATAATTTTAAATAGAAAAAAATTCTATAATAAAGTTTTTTTTTTGTTTTTTTTTTTACTTCAGTAAGTTCGCGATCAGTAAAAATAAATGGAAGACACCATTTACGAAATGGTACAAGTAAAACAAGAATAAATGGAAATAAAAAAGCAAAATTCGTAACTTTTATTGATATTAATAAACCGGCAGCTCCTATTTGTATAAATGTATATGCATAACGTTTCATTTGACGAATCTGCATAAATAAAAGAATTTTAGAATATTTCTTCAAAAAAAGATTAAAAAAAAAGAAATAATTTAATACAAACTCGTCTTAAATATCCAACATTTGGATGATATTTTGTTGGAATAAACATCATTTTAAGTCGACTAAATAATTGTGTACCAGATATGGATACAATACCAAAATATAAAAAAATACCAAATAAAGCTGCAACAGGAATTTTACGAATAATAGGTGCTGCAAATATCGTACAACCAATAAGAATATGTACACCTATATTTGTTAAACGTTGATCTTTTATATCAATTAGACGAGGTTTTTCTCCTGGTGCATGAGTTTTACTATATTTTGATAAACTAGCTACATGAGCAATACTTCGTACAGGTGCTGCACATATCCATGGAAGACCAAAAAGTCCACTGATAGATATTAAAACACCTATTGTACAAAAAAAAAAAATCATTTTTTATAAGAATAAAAGAAATAGAACATATTCTTTTACCTGCTATCAATATATCCAAATGATAACCGGTACCTTTAACAGCTTTAGTTGTATGAACACATTTAAGTTTTGATTGTATCATAATACTAGAAAATAAAGAAATTTTAATTTTAATTTTAAATATATTTTAATTTTTTGTTTTTTTACCTAGTTAATTCAACTTCAAAAAAAAGAACTACAGAGATAAGAATAGCAGGAAATGAGGATGCAAAATAAACCCAAAATGGTAATCGTTTACGTAATGGTGATATAGGCCAAATATTACCACGTTCACGATCACTTGGTTGAATGGAATTCGGTACAGTAATTTTCTACATGAACAAATAAAAATAACAGAAATTATTTATTTATTTTGTTGTATTATTCTTTCATTACTTGAGTTAAACTATGACCACCAGCATTTTTAGTTATTAGTATATCGAATAGTACCATACATAGGAGAGAAATAGTCATACCAAAATCACTCAATGTTTGTCTTGTCTAAAGAAAATCAAAAAAATTAAATTTTATGAACAACAAATCAAAAGGTGTATTGAAAAATTTGGACGTACTCACTTCTAGAACTCATCAGGTTCCACAATTTCTAGACCGGAATCCGATAGGCTCTATACATCGCATTTAAATAAATTATTTAATACAGTCAGCGGCAAAAATTTAAACGAATTAATTTCTTTTTTTCTCATGTCTTCATTTTCAAATTCTCTTTTAAAATATGAAATAGTGATATAGATCGTATGGAACGTCGGTTACATGTAGAGGTGTAAGCCGAGGGGTCAAATGGCGGCGGCGCCTACTAGACTCTATGTTTTTCTACACCGGCGGCGGCTTTAATTTCAAAATTCTTTTTTCATGACGGCGCCAGCTTTGACAACCAAAACAAGAGGTTTTCGCTCCTAAAATGCGAGAAAATGACCGATCGCATATGTATCGATGTCAATGGCGACGGCGTAACGGCTGAACTAACTTTTTCATAGCGACGGCGGCTAAAAAATTCGTAAAACTATGTACGATTCCGGGGCGGCGGCGCAGCTGGATGGCTTACACCTCTAACTATAATAGGAGGACACTTTATCTGCCTATACAGATTTTTTATTTTGAAATTTTCTGTCAAAAAAAAAAAATTTACTAAGGAAAAGTTATTCGTGTTTTATAATCGTTTCTTTGAAAAATGATAATCGTAAAAATCAGTGATTTTAGAACTTCAAATACACCATTGTGTTCTATTTTGAATATTCCTTCCAATGAAATCTAATAAATTGTCACAAGAGAGAATTTGTAATAAACAATGTCATTTTTTTTCAGTCTGTTCTAGTTAAAATCATATTTTTGAAGTGAAAACCATTTCTGAAAAAAAACGTTTTTTTTTTTTTTGGAAATAGATAAACCGTGAAATTTTTATTTTAGTACAAATCTAGTTTTGCATAGAAGAATTATTTTTAATATGAAAAATCTATATAAATAGATAGACTTCGGTGCATCATTTAGCCTGCATCTCAACACTATTTCTATCATTAATTCAATCAAGTTCGCAACCTTTTACACTACGAAAGTGAATTAAAAAAGATAAATGTAAGAAAAAAATAAAATTCGCTTAAATTATTGTCATTAACTGTACTCATTTATTGATTTATCTAGTCGACGAATAGTCCATTTTTCTCCTAATCCTGATTTTAGTCATTGAGATCACGACTAAAATTAGCCATTGCATCTCTATTCCTTACAGGCTGGTCGTAGCAGACTTTGCTGATATACGATTAAAGACTGTATATCAATAACATTTTGTATTTCTCAAGAATTACGTACAATTATAATGAAGAAATGTCTCTCAAAATAAATAGAATAAAAAAACCAATTTCCCTATAATCAGCAACAGTAGCTACATTGTGTTTCATACACATAAATCCGGAAAGGATTGCGTTAACAACTTTTATTACTTAACCAATAATTAACTTCAATTTATAAGTGTCTCTTTTGATTGTCTGAAAAGGTAGTGTTCCTTTTTTTTTCCTTCAGTATAATAATGTCATATATATATAACATACGGGAAAAGGAGCTTATCATTAGAATGAATAAAAAAAAAAGTAATAGACATAACAACAAAAAAAAAGTATCCGAATGTACTCAGACTAGACTAAATTGACATATTTTGATTGATCTTATTTCATCATTGCATTTCTAATAAGATAGAAATATGCTAAAATCTCTTACTTTATTTTCAATCAATTTAATTCATATACACATAGTTAAGCAATATAATTGACATATTTAGAAAGTGATATTTAGACTATTTATAAATTTTATTATTTTTATTTCAAGGTTTTTTAGTAAATTATAAAATTTCGACAAAAATAAATAATTTTAAATAACTATAATAATTAATTTCAAATGAAAAATCAATATTTAAATATTAAACTTACTGATCGACCAAAAAAATTACTTCGTCGAAAACGTTTAAGTGCAAGAGCTATAAAACACGTTCCAAGTAGAATAATTAATGAAAGTAATGCTTTATTTGGTAATTGAGTTTCATCATTAAGTATTTTTGTATCATTAATTCGTAATAATGAAGGTGTAGAAGATATATAACGTTGAGAAGATAAACAATCATAACATGAATATTTTAATAATGATAATTTTTTATTTTTAATAGAAAATGATGTATTTAATAGAGAAGATATATTACAAGAACAAGTTAATGGATAATTATAATTATATTTTGATAGTACAGGATTTGATTGAAATATCTATTTTGAAAGAAGAAAAATTTATGAATCAAATAAAAAAATCAAAAATAATATTCAAATATATATATTACTGTATAAAGTTTTTTAAATGGTTCATAAAGATAAACAAGAGCAATAATAAGTGCAAATATTTCTTCAGTAAATCGTGTTACATGACGAATCATAAAACTACCTTCAAATGCGACAAGTATAATTATAAAAAATGTTGTCCATAGACTAACACATAAACGAACTGTCCAAAAATCTGATGGTAATAATTGACATAACTAAAATAAGAATAACATATATATATATAGATCTCATCGAAATTTTGTAGATCTTGTTCATTAAAATAGATCATATTAAGATTTATTGTACATAAAATTATGAAGATAATAATTACTATTCATAATTATTTTAAATATTCTTTCTTTTTTTTTGATAGAAGTATACTTCATATGAAGTGATAGTAAACAATAGAAATGAAAACAATTGTTACAAAAAATTTATGATGATTGATAATAATGGATACATTCATATGAATATAATATTCTTCGTATATAAGTGAATAACAAGTCATGATGATTGCAATTCATCTGTTTTTTTTGATATGAACTATTTTTAGTTTTTTTACATAAATTTTCTATAAATGATTATAATTAGATAAAGATGAGATTTTGAATAAGTGATCATTGTATTTGAATTTTATTAAAATATATACATTATGTTTATTGTTAATTGTAAGATGAACAATACAATCTAGTATTATTATTATTATTATGAATATTATTTCTTATTCAATAGATTTAATTATCTAAGATTTTGAAGAATTGATTATCAATATACAATTAATTTAATATCTACTACTTCACTATATCTATTCGTTTATTCAATAGGGTGCAAAAGAACATTAGATATTATTATGAAACTTGAATAGAATTTCTTTTTTTTTTTTTTTTTTTCTAAAACAAAAATATTCTTTTCAAAGCAATCGGATACATGGATATATAATATGCAAATATTAATTATCGAAAAAGGTATATGAGATTGTAAGCTGAAAGCAAGAAGAAATCTTTCAACTACATTAAAGTAGCTAAAGGCAAAATACAAAACTTATAAACACTTTATAACATCTACAGCTTAGAGCAGAAATCTATTAATGATTTTACTACATCATTGATTAATTTTTCAGTTCCTATACATCAATAACAACTTGCTCTCGCTTTCTATTACTTCTTCAAAAAAACAAAAATAAGCAAATTAACTGCAGATTTAATAGTTCGATATTTTTCCTACAATAAATACTAGCTGTATCTCTCGACAAGTGCTCGTATCACTAATTAACCACAAACATCAGTATATATTATAATATACTCTCGAATGAGTGGACTCTGAACAAATAGCAGTTAGTGATTTGTACAGGATCATTCCTTGACTGTTGGTACTGTGCTATAAACATAGTACTTTGTGGATTACATGTCAAACAACATAGCCTGTTGCAAGAGAACATTTTCAGCCGATCCCATTGCTCGTGAATTCAAACTTTGTGCATAAGATAAACTCCAGTAAGATAATGACAGTATTTCGACTAGAAATATTTTCATTCAGTTTATTGATATCAAGTCTATTTTATGCTCAGAATCCATATGTAAAATCGATTGATTAACAAAAAAATATTCTTTCATCATCCATAGTAACTTTTTAATATTAACAATATTTAAATATGTATACTTACATCATAGACCATTTCTTCAAAAACAAGAAAAGGTCCTGTAGGTCCAAGAATAAGTAATGGTTGTCCACTGACAAGTCCAAATAACAAACCACTAACTGATGATGCAATTAACATTTCATTAACACCTAATCTATTGCTAGTTTTATCAGCTAAGAAAAATAATAACAAAAAAAAAAAAAAATCAGTTTCGAATTTTTAAATTTTCTTTTTCTAATAAATAAAAAAATTTTTTTTTTTTTTTGTTTTACCTATAATACCACCAAAAGTTAATGCTGGTGCAAGACATGCAATAAACATAAATATAAGACTAACAAGACAATTAAGACTAAAAGCATCAATAAAATCTGATTTATAATGATGATAACGTCGACACATTTCACGATAAACACCACCAAATATATAACCACTTCGTTTAAAAGGATCTTCATCTGGTTTATCATGTGATAAAGTAGATATTGGAGCTAGAATTTTTTTTGTTTTTTTGAGTTTTATTACAATCAAAAACAATTTATATCATTAAACTTACATAATATAACTTTTGAAATTAACAAAGAAATGAAAGATTTAAACAAAAAAAAGAGAAGGAATTTTATTATTTCGAAAATATTTACCTTGTGATGGTCGATGTTCTTGATCAGTTGGTCGATCACTATTTTGTGATCGTGCTCTTGTTGAACGTCGTTTTGCATTCAATTTTTTTAATCTTGCTGTTTCAATTATAGGTAATAAAAGTTCTTTATCAAAATCTCCTGGTGGTAAAACAATTGAATCCGAAAGAAAATCATTTACACCATTGAGTAAATCACGACGATCCATTGCTTGATAAGCTGTTTCTCGAAAATCCTACATATATAAAATAAAATTTTATAAAACTTAATTAAAAAAAAGAATTACAAGTGTACTAAATAATGTACTAAGTGCACGACCAATTTCTAAATATTCATCCATAGTTGGACCAATAAGTAAAAAAAGAAAACGAACTGGTAATGGAACTTCAGTCATATTACCTAAGTATTAGAAAAAAAAAACAAAAAAAAAAAAAAGAAATTCATCAAATCATACTTATAAGTTGACCTTGTGAAAGACGTACAAATGCCATAATAGGTCTAGATAAATTTCGCATACTACCAATTAATACTTCAGCACATTCAGCATTATCTGGAATACATCGCATTACATCGGACTAAAATAAAATATTTTATACAATATTTTCAAATTATTACTTGATAATAAATTCATTATAGAATATCAAAAAAAAAAACAAAAGTGTAATTGATAAAGATCCGTTCGTTCAAAAATTGATTTTAGTTCAAATATAACTATTTAAAGTACATGAAAAATCTAAGGACATTTTAAAACTAGAAACATGTAGGATCGAGACCGGAATTACGAGCAAAAAAAAAACTTATCCGGTCCGGAACCACGGCAAAGACAAGTTGCTTAAACCGGAATAGGGACTACGAGGAAAAAAAAATTTTGCCGGGACCGGAACTTAAGTTTATAGTAAAATATTCTATAGTTTTAACAAAATTATCTTATAATTCATATGAAGCAAAAACGTGCTTATCGTCAACTAAATAAGTACAAAAAAGAAAAGCAAAATTCATTGAATACATGACATAGATCGAACCAAAACATATTTAATTATGTATATTTATAATTGAAGTTATATAGAGATGTGCATGACAAGTTTTTCCTTTATATTGTACTTTGACTGAGAAAAACTTTCTTAATTTTACTCTTATTTTATCATTTGTTTTTTTTCTTTTTAAATAAAGAATGTCATAAAAATTTTAATCTATTCAATGTGAAAGAGTATAAACTGAACTTTTAATAACTTTAGCTAATCTATTGTTCTATATACTTATGTAAATTGAAAAAGGTTATTTTTAACTTGAATATGTCATACTACATCTATAAATATCAATTATCAATTAATGAACTAATGTTATTGAAAATTAAGTATACTCTTTCGTATAGTATATGTTAGATTTTTTTTATTAGTCTACATGATTTATTCTATATTTTGTATTGAAAAATAGAATTATAAGTTGTTCTTTTTTATATTCATATTCTTGTAGTGCTTATTGAATCATATATAAAAATTAATATTTCTTTCAACTCTAATCATTCTGACATTACAAAACTTGAACGATTTTTTTTTAGATAATAGCTTTTCTTTTTCTCTACAAAAAAACAACAACATATACGTAAGGTTTTGTACAGTATAGGCAGGCAGCCAAGATAAAAACAAAATTTTCTAAGCCAAACCATATCCTATCTTATAGGGGTAAGATAATTCTGTATATCTCTTAAATTTATAGTAAATTTTTTTTTGCCTTAGGCTGTAATGTTTTCAGGAGATATTCAAGTCAATGTATGTTTTTATTTTATATATATATATATATTTAATCTTTTGTTTTTCCTAATTGAAAGAACATGTCAGATTACAGTATTTATTTTAATATAATAAAAAAAAAAAAAAAAACCTTAATTCAAAACAACGGACACTTCAACGTCATATACTCTTTCAAAAATAAAAAGAATCGAGCATTCGAACTACAAAATGTAACTCTTTTCAACAAATCTAAGATTTGCAATCATAATAATATAAACTGACAAAACAAAAAACAAAAGGTATATTTCTATTCATTTCATACATATCTCTTACTTTATGTGGAGTTGCTTCACGAATTTTTTTTGATAAACTTTGTGATGGTCGATGTAAAGAAAAAGCTTGTGGTCCAGATGGTCGTTGAATTTGATTAATATTTTCATTACTATTATTTTCAATATTGGCTTGAAATTCATCGGATAAATTTATTTTTGTATGTAAATCAGTTACAATTGATTCAGCAATATTATCATACTAAAATGATAATAAGAAAAAAAAAAAAACGAAAAAAAATATTTATATTTAATAAAAGTGAAAAAAAATGAATAATTGAATTATATCTATCGATAATTTTATAAACTAACTTGAACAATAAGAGTTTTTAAAGTTTTATTTATATCACCATTTACTTTGGATTCTAAGAGACTCATTCGTCGTGTATTAGTATTATCATTATTATTTTGTTCATTTTTTCGAAATGCTAAACTTGATCGTCGTGTTGTTAATGGTGGAAAATCTAGTGTTGATGATCGTCGTCGAAATGAACGAATTTCAGGATGTCTTTTAAAAAAAAAAATAATAATACAAAATCAATTAAAGTTATTTATTTATTTTTATACTTATGATTGCTTGTTAAAAGTCGTAGAAGTTCATCTTTAACATCTTTATTCATTTGTCCATTAGCAATAGCATCATTAATAATAGCTTCATAAATACATTCAAGTTTTTGTTCTTCAAGATCAAGTAATACAATTCCTATATAGATGAATAAATAATGATGAAAAACAGAACAAAACAAAAAAATTAAAATGAAAGTTTTCTTTTTTTTTTTTGGGATTTTCATGAATTTTCTAAATAAAAACTACACACACAATGTGCGCACCATATTGTAAACCACGACGTAATTCGAGTAAACTATGAAAGTTTAAACAACCAACACGTGGAGCTAGAAATAAAAGACATAAAAAAAAAACAAAAATTTAGTATAAGAAATATTTATTTATTTTTTTAAAAACAAACCTTGCCATAGTTCCATTTCAACATCATAATCTTCTTCATATCGAATCCATCTATTTATATGAAAAATAGTTGAATCTATTCTCGAAATTTTGATTCAAATGTTAATCATTATTTTTTTTTTTGAATAACTTTCGATCATTTATAGGTTTCAAGATTGAGTTTTTGCTAATCTGTATAACATTCAGTAAGATTTGAAAGATAGATATCTTTTTCGTTGTCAATTTCGATAAGTAATCTAAACTCAAGTTGGTGTAAAATGGCATCGGAAGGATGTAAGATTCATGAAGTGCTCTAAAATTTGGACACTTTACAACTCTCTCTCTTTAGATCGTTTTCTGATGTGATTTGAATCTCTTGTAGGAATACACAACAGAAAACGTATACATTCATGAAGAACATGTTCGAACTTAATAAATGTTCTACAGGTAGATATCTCTAATGATGAAAATCTAACTTTGATAACTATAAACGATCGAATATTATTGAAAAATTTAATGCAAAAATATTTTAATCAAAATCTGATAATAGTTATTTGTATTCATTTCTTTTTACCTGGCACATTCATGCCATGTATATTCATTATTTTCATCTTGTCTTAATTCTTGTAATTCAATAAATAATTCATATGGTGTATGATCAAGAGACTACAAAAGATTGAAAAAAAAGTGAGAATAATTTTTATTCTTTTTTTCTATCAGAATATGAAATTCTATATTATCTAATCGAAATTATATGATTAAGAAACAAATAAAAAAAAAAGAATCTAGGATATATTTATTGTTAATTATTATATTCAAATAGTATCCTATTATTGTACGACTTACTAATCGTCCTGTATGTGCACGTTTATAACTAGCTCGATGAACTCCACTTAAACCAAGACCACGTCGTTTACCACTACTAGTTATACTAGTACTACTAGCTACTAAATGAATTCCAGGAGGTGATAAAGTAGCAGTAGTTGATGCTGATGATAGAAGTTTATCGGGTAAGGTTGGTGAACCAGGACAAGAAGTTCGTTCGAAATAATCTATAATATTTTAAGAGAACAAAATATTTTTTTGTTTTTTTTTATACATATTTGTTTTCTTCTTTGAAGAGATACCTTTTAAACTTATGTTATCCGCGTTGATAGATGACATTGTCGATGTTTCCATCCTAGATGATTGATATTCGAATTGTGGACTAATTTTGTCATGTGTAACAAAGATAAATGGAACAATAGTTGTATTATTACTATGTGAATTTGTATTGTGATTACTAAAACTAATGATAATAATAGTTTAGATAACAACAAAATGTTTTTTTGCGTTTTAGTATCAACTAAAAAGAAGCCGTGTGTCAGGATGCGCTTTTCTTCTTTTTTTTTCTTTTTTCTTGTCTTCTCGTCTAATTCGATCATATCCTTGGTAGAATCGACAGGGTGCGCGGATGAATCGGAAACCGATGATGACACATCATCGTTAAAAAGAGAAAGCCAAAAGAAGAAGAAAAAATATAGGTGCCAATCGTCGATTAGGTCAATTTAGTTCAGATAGTTGCCGATTTCATATTTTGTCAAACAGTAGGGACTATTTCAAGAAAACTTTTTATGTTTTTTTTTCTTCTTCTTCTATATTTCTCTTCTTTAACAGTTCAATACTCATCCTAGATGATATGCCTTTTGAGTTGTTCTTATTTTGTTTCGATCTATCGAACGACAAATCAATGTAAGTGAACAAGATTTTTTAGATAACTATGTTAGTCAACTATAAAAGTCTATAAACATATTGATAATAATAGAAGAGAAAAATAAGTCTATTTCTATCGTTTCTTCTTTACGCTCTATCTCTCTATTCACTTGTGTTCATGATTTGTCATGCAAATTGAAACAAAATTTATTACATCGATCATTTTCAGTTATGTCTATTAGAGCAAACTATGTAGTCGCTCTCTTCACTCGAGGGCAAAACTAAGAGTAACAAGAGGAAAAAAAGAAAAAAGAAGCAAAAAAACCGAGAATCTAACAACAAAAAGCATCACATCTTTGATGATGTCGACATATTTTCAAATTGATAATGATTTACTAAGATAAAATACGATAAATATATCTTTCTAGACAGAGAAAAGAGAGAAATCATTTTATATATATATACACATACCACACCAACAGACATATTCTCCTTTGTTAATAATAAAACTCAATACGTGCGTGCTCGTTTTTTATTCTTTCTAGAATTGTCAATAGAAATAATGAGAGAAAAAACGTAAAGCGAACAATAATAAATCTAAATAATATGAAATGATTTCCGTACAGCAGTAAAAACTATGATGATTAAACTTTCTAGCCTTCTCTATTTGATTATTATTTTCTTTTTGTTTTATCGAGAAGAGAAAAAAAGAAAAAAAGTAGAAGACATTTTATCTTTATACACAAGCAATAATAATCACCATAAGTTTTTGTTGTTATTATTTGTATTCATTTTTTTAAATTCAACATGCTTGATTTTCTTGTCTGTCTTTTTTTTTTATTCTAACAATAAAAAATGAGAATGAAGAAGACCACTTAGATATAAATTTTTTTTTCTCATCATTCATACCTTGACAAAAAAAAAAAAAAAAAAAAAAAAAAAAAAAGAAAAAATGCAATTAAATGTTAGATGAAACATTTACTTGTATGTGTTCAGGTATTAGGGAATAAGAAGAGGAAACAAAAAAAGGAGAAAGAAGACTTTGAAATGATGCTGCTCAAAATGGCACTTACATGTAGGCAGAATAATGACAACTCATTCATTCGTAGTTCCTTTCTATAAGTGTAAAACAATTGACAATATGTTTTGCATTTATATGTATGTGAAAAAATTTCAAGAAAATGAAGATAAAAAATGAAAATTATTTCTTTTTTTTTTTTTTAATATTTTGAAGAGTTTATTTTAAATTAAATATTTTTTTTCCTTGTTTTCTTACTCATACTGATTATTTGATGATGTTGTTGTAGTAGATTCTATTGATGTTTCATTATTTATTTGATGTATATCATCATTTATATCATTTTTAATATATTGTACATGTGTCTTATATTGTAAACGTAATGGAAAGTCTAAATAACAGGAAATATGATCAAAGCACGCAAAAATAAATAGATAAAATTGTTATGGAAAAAGAAAAAAAAGAAAAGAAAAATATGTTAATCCAGCAATAATTCATTAGACATGATTAACAAAATAGTTGTTATCGGTTATTTTAGATGTAAAAAAAGAAAAATTTGTAGATGTTATTTATCTTATCGTATAAGTATTGTCCACATACATTTGGTAGTTTTTTTTTTATATCTATAGACACATATCCCGTCAATCGTCTCTACATCATTAGTATCCTTAGGAAGTATTTTTTTATATCTATCTATATACTAATGATGATTTATCGTTCGTCATGACTCGCTTTAGGGTAGTTTCCACTTATTTGATGTTTGACAGACTTGTCTATTTCTCGATACACACACACACACACGCATACAAACATAAACAAGACAGAAAACAAATCTTTTATGTAAATTTTAGTGACATTAAAGTACATAAAATATTTAGATAAAATTGCTTTAATGATTTTATATAAAATTTTCATTTCCTAAAAAAAATTCTCTTACCATTATTATCCATAATTTTATTAATCGTATATTCCAATGGGTCATCATCATCATCGTCATTAATCTCATCAATATCTTCTTCAATTGTTGCCAAATGTACCATTATACTTGTTGCACTCACATCATTACATATATGACAATCCATTAATGACTGATTATAAATGCTCGTGCATAGAACAAAAAAGGAAAAAACTTTTAAACTGTTTCTTCTATATAAAAAAAAAATATATATATATATATATTTATACCGGATACAAAAGATCATAAGAGAAAAAAAGAAAGAAAGACAAGAAACATAGAGATGTCAAAATGCAATATATTAAAGGATGATCATCAAAAGAAAAAGATGCAATGCATATTTGTAGATACATACAAAAATAACAAAGAAAAACAACTTCTACCTGAAGGGATAAGATCGTTGTCATCATCAGTTTCATTATGTTTGTTACAGCTGGAAATGCGTTCATTTGCCTCACGGATTTCTTCATCAAAATATTCGACACTTTTCGCCTCATCATGATTGTGTCCAATAAAAAGAGCAGGATACTTCAAAAACGAGAAAAAAAACACGTTCTTTCTAAAGTTTTTTTTTTTTTTGTTTTCTTCGTTTCTTTATGATTATATGAATTTACTTTTGTTTGTCTTAAAATGTTCATATGATAAAATAGTAAAAATAAAGTTTGAAAACTAAAAATATTTAAAAAAAAAAAAAAACAAACTTGTTTTTCAAAGACAATAAACAAATATCCAAATAGTTATAAGTACATGATATTCTAAAATTATCGGACATCATATAGATGATGTTATCGAAAAACAAAAAATTTTTAAGACATAACAGATATGAACTCTTTTTTTATAAGATCATCGAAATATTTTTCGATAATGTCAATAGAGAGTTTTTATAATTTTAGAATATTCTGTAGAAAAAAAGAAAATGAAGAGTGTTTACAAACTACTTATTAGTCTAATTGACACATATATCTCTTGATGAAAGAACCCCTATTTATATTCTATGTTTTTTGATCATTCAAGAAGCTAGAAACAATCAAGATATTATTATAGTAAAAAAAAATACGAGTACTTTTAATAGAGAATATTCCCTTGTGTTAGTTTATTATCATATTAATTATTGAAATGAACAAAAAAAAATCAATTTTCTATTCATTTTCTTTTTCTATAAGATATTCTATTTTAAGTTAAACTAAAAAGGTTATCTTGCTAAATTGAAAATAATATTTTTTTTTTTTCTTTAAAGTTTAAACTTTTATTTTATTTCATATGCATATTATAATATATTTTGACAAATTAAATAAAGTTCTTTTATTTTTGTTGTTGTTTTAAAAGTCAATTAAACGTTTATGATTTTGTCGTTGAAGAATCGAATAAATATATGGTAAATTTTCATCATAATTTGTTGGCATATCATCATTATCATTACTTATTAAATCATGATGTTGTAAATATCCAAAATCACGTTTTAATCGTAAATTTATTGGATGATTATGTTTTATACCTTTTGATAATATTGATGGATACGCAATGATATATTCACTAGTCATTAAGAAAATGACAAGGAATGATATTGGAAATACAAACATAATTGTATACGTCGTGTATTTTTGTGTGTGTATGTATGATGATAAAAAATGCAAATGTATGAAAAATGAGCAGAGATAGAAGCTCTTCTTTTTTTTGTCTTTTATTAATAAAGTTTATTTATGGTTCTATAATTTATTGAGAAATTTGAGTATGATTGAATATAAGAAAAACTCAAATAACATATTTCATATGCCTATGATTAACAAAAAGAAAATAAGAATTAGTTTATTCATCGTCGGCAGTTGCATTGGACTTTTTCGATCGACTATCAAGAATAATTGTGACTGGACCATCGTTTTCTAAAATAATAAAAAAAAACAAATAGTAATTAATTTATTTCGCAGAACTTTAAACAATATATATGTCTAGAGAAAAAAATTTATTTTATTAGATGAAATATAATATTGTTCCAAACATTAATCATGCGAATAAAAATAGAATTATATATATATATATATGAACTCCAATAGAAATATCATTTGATGCGACAAATTAATTAAAATGTGTGATGTGATACATTTCTATTGACAATCTTGAAATCTTTTTTTTCAAATGATTTCTTTTGAAAAATAGTTGAATTCTATATAATCATCTCTTATTTCTGATGGTGTAAATTAATTTTGAATGCGTCAAACATTCTTTATAAAAGAATGTCGAACTTTTTGGGTAGTTACAAATGGCATAGAATTTGAATTGTTACAACAATATATTGGTCCATTTTTTCAATAACGTAAATTTCAAACTTCTTTGTGTAATACTTTTAGAATTTTTAAATAAGAAATAGACACTTTCTCGGATTAAAACAAAGAAAAACAAGATTTTATTTTTATCTACAGGAAGTTAGATTGTTGGTAGAATAAATTATTTGTTCAGATTAAACATAAGTAGAAGTCACTGACGTTTTTTTAGTAACAATTTTTATATCTGTTAAACTTCCGACAATTTTACTCTACATAAATCTAAAGTGATTGTCATAGTTCTGTTCAATTCAAACTTTTATTTCCTATCAAATGTTCAAAAAACAATAGAAAGTATTAAACAAAATGATTATTAAGATTTTTTTATGATTACTTGTAAAATCACTTTTTTTTTTCTTCTTCTTGTTTTTAAACACTTAAAATTCGATTTAATTATTATTATATTAAAAATAAATATTAATACATACCGATATTTACATTCATCATCGCACCAAATAGTCCATCAAAAATTTTATCTGTTTTATAATTTTGTTTTAATTGATTTAATACTTTTTCATATAAGATTTTCGATTGTTCACCTGACATTGATAAATGAAAATCTGGTTTTGTTCCTTTTAGTGTTGCATGCAATGTAAATTGACTTATACATAATAGACTATAATCTAAATCAACAACATTACGATTCCAATTTCTATTTCCATCAATTGATGGCCATAAACGTATTGAAAGTAATTTTCTTACTATATAATCAATATCGTTTTGATCATCATCATTAAAAATACCGATTAATACGCATAAACCACGATCAATTGAACTAATTATATCATTATCAACACGAACACTAGCTCGAAGAACGCGTTGAATAACAGCACGCATATATATATATTTTTTATTCGATCTGAATTTTAAAGCCATGAATTATTATTGTTATTATTTTTTGATTGACAAAAAGCCAAAAAAAAGCATCATGATAAATATGTGCTTAGTTAGAAAAAAAAAAACAAAACAAGAATAGGAATTATTTCAATTAAATAGATTACAAATAAACAAACAAAAAGCAACAAGAAGAAAAAAAAAATTAATCTGACATATTATACATAATTACGCAGTACATGAGGACGTTGCTGTTGTTTTTGTTGAAAAGAATACGGTGGATTTTCTGTAGAACTATCCCACTGAAGAGAAAAAAGAAACATAAAATAATATTGGATTTTTCTTATTACAAATGTAAAAGAAAAACCTAGAGAACATACCACACGATTATTATAAATGCCATTCTCATCGGGATGATATCTTATTGTTTCCTGTAGATTATTGTTCATTCCAGTCGTTGTCATCGGTATATTATTGTCCTGTTTAATTATAACACGTAAATTAAGAAAGCTCGGTGGTAATGGTCCACATAATGTTGAAAAACAATTTAATAATGGATTTCCACGAGAAAATGGATTTTTTAAATTTTCACCATAATGTGATGAATTCCATGTATCTTTAATCTATGATGAATAAATAAATTTTATAATTTTCTAATCATATTTAAATACTTACATCTTCATTCGTTGTAATACTACGACAAATTAAATATGTATGATAACCCCATAGACCAATAACAGACCAAATTGATATAAAACATACTAAAGCTTCAACAATAGTTGCTGGTGTATCTCGAATAGCATCAGCCACTGTTGTTTTATCTTGTGTTCCTATTCATATTTATATTAATAACAATAACAATAATAGGATTAAGATAATATTTCGAAATAACAATAATGTTATTAACTTTCATATCAAAAAACAAAAGATATAATTGATCAAGTCATTCGGGGATGATCTTAGATCCATTGCAAGAGAAAGAGAGAGAGAAAAAAAACCCAATTTTGTTTTTTTGTGAAACTGTTTTCTATCTTTTCATAAGTTTTAAATTTGAATAGTACAAATTATATACATAAAAAAAAAAAACTTACGTAAAACAATATTAATAATATTAAAAACGAATATATAAACACAAAGAATTGATAATGAAAATAAAAATAAATAAAAATATCGATAATTTCGTAGACCAACACAATTTCCAACCCATGGACTAATTAAAAAAAAAGAAGAAGAAATTAATCATTCTTTTAATCAATATTAAAATACATACCAATGATGATCAAAATTCGCTAAAAATAAAATATAATATTATATATATAAGTTTTTTTTTTTTTTCATTTCATCTTATTCTAATTTATCTTACCAATACATGCATCACATAATGAACAATGTGATACTCGTGGTGGTCGAAAAATTTTACATGTTTGACAATATTTAAGTTGAATTTTTTGTCCAGTATGCATTTGAATTTCCATAATTCGTCCAGATAAGGTTACATTTTGTGCATTATCTATATTGAATAACAAAAGATAGATCATATTGTATCTATGAATTTTTTATGTATATTAACCTGATTTTTCAAGATGAAGTATTTCATCGGCTGTTGCTCGAGGAAGAATACCTGGATCTGTAAATGCTGTACGTACAATACAACAAATAACCATAAGAAATAAAATAGCAGCAAATATTGGTATAGCTGGACTAAGTCGTTTGGTTAGATAAGGACAACTAGAATAATTTATAGAAGTTTATTTTATTTTCATTGTTGAAATCTTACTCGAAACCAAAGAAAAGTCCAGATATAACAATGATTAGAAAAAGAGCAAATACAAATATACCAATATTATGACCGGTAACACAACGACCATTACAACACACTTGATTTTTACTTTCAAGAAACTATATATATATATATATATATAAAAGTTGAATAAAATAAAAATTTAACAAAAGAACAAACCTGCCACTTTCTAAC